TGTTGGCAACACTTCCCATCCCTCTGCCAGACGTACGAAATGTCCTTATACTTGCGTTATCATCCTCTTAGACACGGCTCTAGGATCTCAGTCCTTCCAGGTACATACCAGTTAGGGAAAACTTGTCTTGTCCAAGATGAAGGCTTGTGTGATTCATCAGGAATGAATGTGTTATTTTGGTATTGTTAGTGTGCTCTCATAGCAGAGAGGAAGAGGAGGCATCACGGGTGCTGGTGAATGTTGTCATGTCAGAGTGGTGATAATTCCTATGAAACCTGACACATATTTTACTAATATAGATATAATATGGCCAAGAGAAATGCTTAAAAACTTATATTATTCATTCATATAAGGTGAGTAGGGGCCGCGTAGCAGCGGAGCCAAGAATACTCTCTGATTCATTCAGGGAGACGCAGCGTTGCCAATGTCTCATACGTTACTCACATACCCCCACCATTTCCACTCGCCGCCACACAAAACAAAAATAAAAATAAATAGAAATTCACAATCTATTTTCGTAGATATCTGTTAGCACACTCATCCTCCTCCTCCAAGGAGGATGAGTGTGGGATGATTAATGATGAGGAGGAGTGTGTTGAGCAATAAAGTATTTGGTAGTGGCAGTGTGTTCTGGAGAACCCGGAGTGCTTCATACCAAGACTATGATGTGGGCACCGCAGGGCACCGCGGGGCACCGCAGCATGCCTCATGCTTAGTCACTCACCGCCTCACGCAACCCACTCACTCAAAAATACCAGAACAGCGCAATATACACACACACACACAAAAAGAAGACGAATTAAGAGACGTAATGTTTTGTATGGAGTGTATCCCAGGTTGCCATAATAACTGTATGCAGGCGATGAGTCACAATAACGTGGCTAAAGTATGTTGACCAGACCACACACTAGAAGGTGAAGGGACGACGACGTTTCCGTCCGTCCTGGACCATTTTCAAGTCGATTGTGATGAGAAAGTAGAGACAGGCAATAAATAGGCAAGAGAGAGCTGTACTGTACTCTCAACTGTACTCTCAACATGGTGAGCGAGAGAGACCTGTGAGTTACTCTCACACAACAACCACTCCTCCTGAATTGATTGTACTTATAGTAACTTTCTAGTCGACAATACCAATATGTAGTGATGCATCATCATTATATCACTTTTTGTGTTATTGATATTAAAAAAAAATTAAGATCCGATTAAATTAAGATCCGAAAATTAAGATTAAAAAATTAGGTCCGGGAAAAAATTAAGCTAAAACCAAACTGAAATATTTCTAGCCCAAGTATAGCACATATATGTACTATAGTAGGCCAAAAATAGCGTGTATTAGGCCTAGGACTGCTAGGAGAGGTTAGGTTAGGTCTTATGTTTCTGTATCGGTTAAAAAAGTCTCAGGTTTGTCCAAATTCAATAATACTAAAGTCAACTTCCTGGTGGACCATCACTACATGTTGGTACTTTGGACCAAATAGTTACTCTAAGAACTATTATTTATGGAGGATGGACTGCTCACTCACACATCTCCAACAGTCACACTCTAATTATAATTGTTTTAATTAATTTATAGCTTGAATTTCAGGTTCCAGAATATTGTTGTTATAGCTTTATATTTATAAAAAAGATCTACAGTAAAGGATGCATTTAACAATGAACTAATACCGAAATTATTGTCGGTAACAACAATATTAACGCGACCTTTAGGTTAGGTGCATCTATTTCCTAGCTCGGCAACCATAGCCTGTGCTACATGGACACTTCGTTGTGAGTAGCTAAATCTGAAACAACAAACAACCGTCCTCTACACACACAGCACCGCTCCTGTGCCAGGTAAGTCCACTACGGGCTCACCATAGCCCGTGCTACTTGCCCCGCTCCTGTGCCAGGTAAGTTACGGGCTCACCATAGCCCGTGCTATTTGGAACTTGTTCCGAGTAACTGAATCTATAACAACAACAACTCCACGCAAGTCCATTACATCCAGCGGTCGACCCCACAGACGCGCTCAGACATTTGTACATGCTGTTCATTCAAAACAGGAATTTTCTCAAATGTAGATTAATATTATAATATATTATCATATTGTGCATATATAGGCATAGGATAGGTTAGTTAGGTGCTTAGGTTCTGTTGGCGATTATTTGTATTTGTAGTACGTGGGTGAAGCATTTATAACGTCATGGTTCGAACAAAATTCGTCAGTGAAGCACTTGTTCCGGAAGTGTTCGAACGTAATCAGTTGTGAGTCGTGTGTAAACCGTTTTTCATTCATAAACCCACCAAACCCCAGTTTTTGCTGGGGTTTGGTGAGTGCATGGTATCACTTTTGGGTCTTTGTTTGGAGGACGGGCTGCGGAGACGGCTAGTTTATTGTGCACCCCTAATTATTAAACCTAGATGGCCGGGCAGCCTTAATCTGACTTGTGTCCGCTGGTCAGTGAAGGGTGAACAGACTAAACAAGAACACATCCTTAGACTAACAAGAACTAGGAACAAAAAACAAGGAAAACTAAAGCATAAGTCAATAAATTATATATATATATATATATATATATATATATATATATATATATATATATATATATATATATATATATATATATATATATATATGTCGTACCTAGTAGCCAGAACGCACTTATCAGCCTACTATGCAGGGCCCGATTTGCCTAATAAGCCAAGTTTTCCTGAATTAATATATTTTCTCTAATTTTTTTCTTATGAAATGATAAAGCTACCCATTTCATTATGTATGAGGCCAATTTATTTTTATTGGAGTTAAAATTAACGTAGATATATGACTGAACCTAACCAACCCTACCTAACCTAACCTAACCTATCTTTATAGGTTAGGTTAGGTTAGGTAGCCGAAAAAGTTAGGTTAGGTCAGGTTAGGTAGGTTAGGTAGTCGAAAAACAATTAATTCGTGAAAACTTGGCTTATTAAGCAAACCGGGCCTTGCATAGTAGGCTGAGAAGTGCGTTCTGGCTACTAGGTACGACATATATATATATATATATAATGTCGTACCTAGTAGCCAGAACACACTTCTCAGCCTACTATGCAAGGCCCGATTTGCCTAATAAGCCAATTTTTCATGAATTAATATATTTTCTCTAATTTTTTCTTATGAAATGATAAAGCTACCCATTTCATTATGTATGAGGACAATTTTTTTTTATTGGAATTAAAATTAACGTAGATATGTGACCAAACCTAACCAACCCTACCTAACCTAACCTAACCTAACCTATCTTTATAGGTTAGGTTAGGTAGCCGAAAAAGTTAGGTTAGGTTAGGTAGTCGAAAAACAATTAATTCATGAAAACTTGGCTTATTAGGCAAATCGGGCCTTGAATAGTAGGCTGAGAAGTGCATTCTGGCTACTAGGTACGACATATATATATATATATATATATATATATATATATATATATATATATATATATATATATATATATATATATATATATATATATATATATATGAAATACAAACAGATATAAGTATATATATAACCACGAGTAAAAGTTATCAAAAAATACCAGCCAATCCTCCTGTTCTGGTAGTACTTACAGTAACGATGAGGACCATAGTGTATATACCGACGTACAACGGAATTAGACGGTAGAAATCTGAAGTATTGAGTTGGACAAACCTAATTCGGATCTGCATAGTACTAGTGTACTACTACTAGTGTAGTACACCTGCTGACCTGCAGCATAGTACTAGTAGAGTGTTGACCTGTAGCATAGTACTAGTAGAGTGTTGACCTGCAGCATAGTACTAGTAGAGTGTTGACCTGCAGCATAGTACTAGTAGAGTGTTGACCTGTAGCATAGTACTAGTAGAGTGTTGACCTGCAGCATAGTACTAGTAGAGTGTTGACCTGCAGCATAGTACTAGTAGAGTGTTGACCTGCAGCATAGTACTAGTAGAGTGTTGACCTGCAGCATAGTACTAGTAGAGTGTTGACCTGCAGCATAGTACTAGTAGAGTGTTGACCTGCAGCATAGTACTAGTAGAGTGTTGACCTGCAGCATAGTACTAGTAGAGTGTTGACCTGCAGCATAGTACTAGCAAATGAATTGGTAAACCGCAGTAAAGTTAAGAGTCTGTGAACATAGAGGGAAAAATTACTCAGACTCTTAACTTTGCTGCGGTTTGTTAATTAGTTGAGAAGCGACATCTCATTGGACACGGACTCTAAACATTTTAAGTAATTGAGAAGCAATATGGCCTTGGTCGCTGACTCCCAACATTTTGACACTTCTTGCTCAACACTTGTTCACCCACTACAATAAAACGTAACTATTCTTAACTATGACTTCAATTTTTTTCTGAGCTTCTCCATCAACATTTTCAACCACACTGGGTTGAACACTGTCATTACTAGTGGATAGTTCATTCTCCGGAGACTCTTCCATCCGTGATACGCCATCCTCTTCCATACTTTCTTTCCCCTCCGTTTCACTCACGACTACACACCATCTGTTTGCCATAGCTAATTTTTCTAGAGCTTCAATCCTCTTGTCCAACTTTTTGAGGTATTCCATGATCTGTGTACGTCAACTCCACAACGTTGCCTTGCACCTCATCACCAAAGTGCACCAGGGTACACTTTTTCGGTTTCGTTTCCTACTGCCACTAGGCTATCCTTTATCATCGCCATGCCTTTCTCTCAAACGTTGGTTTGGGTGAGAGGCACGGCTGTCGTTGTCTTTCCACTGTTTCGTTCTTGTTCCTGCTGTATGATATTGCCTTCCTTCAGAGCTTCGTTTACCCTGCTTATGGGTGCCGGCTTGGAATCTATCACACGGGGCTTCATGGGACATAGAGAGAAACCAGCATTGTGGACGCCTCGACAATTGCAGCAAGATGGCAAAAATGTTTCTCCCTTGTCAAGCCTGAATCTACACTGTCGCGAGTCATGCTCTTTACCACAATAGCGACATCTGGGGGTCAAACTGGCATTTCCAAGCCATATGTCCCCAACG